ATGGTCATATTAGCCAGTCGTGATCATACCTGTATACACCCTCAGGTATCAACCTCAAGGAACAAGAAGGAGGAATGCAAGGCACTCATAGACTACAAATATGTAGGAACATAGAAACACACACTCACCATTAGCACTGTGATGTACACAATACTCATTACACTTATAAAATGAATGTACATATATGTACAGTATAATTGATGAAAGAGAAGGTGTACATGTGCATATATACACAAACTTACTGTATGTGTTCCACTTTCACTACCACGCAAAATGTTTTGTTCAATGCATGTACAGTATGTTGGTTTATGTTCATATGTTATAGGGAGCATCCTGTGCATTTTATCATAAAGTCCAGCAGAAGTTAGGTAGTCAGTATAAACTGAGAGAAAACGGGATCACAACTGCTTGGGACATTGAAGACCTGGTGACTCTAGGGAGGAAGATTAAGGTCAGGGTACATACATGTATACATTGATTGTTATTTCTTACTGTCCCTTTGGTTGTTTTTCATTTGTAATTGTAATTTTTTTTCTCTCGTTTTTCTAAATTTTAATTTTATTTTTCTGTGTCTTGAATTCTTTCCATTGTTTAGACTTGTCCCTATTATTCTACTAGAGCACTTTTCGAAGAAGCCGAAATAATTTTTTGTCCTTACAATTATTTAATTGATCCTTTAATTAGAGAGCAGGTTAGAAGAGAGAGGAAGAGAAGAATAAAGAAGGCTTGAAAGAAAGAGAGAGCTTAATGTTATTATAATTATTTTTATATTTTATTCCGTTTTTGTTGTTGTTTTTGTTGCTGTAGATGATGATTAGGCTGGAAGACAGTATACTGATATTTGATGAGGCTCACAATATGGAGGATGCTGCAAGAGAAGCTGCCAGTCTAACTGTTAATAGTAATCAACTCAAAGAAGTTGAAGAAGAAATTGATAAAATAAGTAAAGATTGATTTACACTACAGGCATTCATATTACCCTGATCAAACCCTATGTATAAATCATTGATACAATACAAAGATATAGAAATCAATGGTTATTGTATCTGGTTCCAAGCATGTGCAGTATAAGCTAATCTTAAAGTTAATTCTCAGATTTGTATCAATCACTGCTTTATAATGACTATACACATAATATTTTCTCTCTCTCTCTCTCTTTACAGTGGAGTTTTTGTCCCCAGAAATTCAAAACAGCTATCGTATTGTTTATACTTATGTAAGATTGTGTGTACATGTACATGTATACTGCTGCTATGTTTACTTTCATTCGTTTATTTTGGTGTTGGTGTTTTTGTCCTTTTTCAGGTTGTTAATATTTCACAGTGGATGGCCACTCAGTCGGAGAAATTAACTATAAGGAAATTTGAGGAAAGCTGCAGTGTTTGGAATGGAAACGATTTCCTGCCATTTCTGAAAGGAATTGGGATCACCATTGAATCGCATTCAATGATAATGGTAAGGAACTAGTAATGTATACACAAGTAGTATACTAGTATGTAATGTATTATATATACTAGTACATGCATCTGTACATGTACATGTATGTATCATAAATGGATGTTTTAATTTATTTATTTTTTATTTTTATAGCATCATGTTAGGACAATTATTGATGATACGTTTGAGCAAGAGTAAGTGAAGTATTGTACATGTACATGTACATGCACTTATTGATGTCCTTATGCTATGTAAAAAGTTTGAGCTGATTCCAACTATTTTTACAATGTATCTCAAGTACATGTACATATTGTACTTTTGACTTCCTTACTATTCATAATGTATATGTACATATACATGTACATGTATATATATAAGTATATGTTTTGTTTTATTTGCTATAGGAGTAAGGAAGATAAGCGGCTCCCACCTCCAAAGTTACCCGTTGGTATCGTCCACATTATTGATAGTTTATTCATAATTATGGGATACCTTTTCAAGCAATCCCAAAAGTATTTGAATGATTATAGGTAATCGTTGTAGCCATTAGATTAGATATTGTTATTTATTTATTTATTTTTGTTGTTGATTAGGATTGCTTTGAAGAAGGCAATGTCTATTCAACCTCAGAAGAAGGTATATATTGTGTTCTATGATCAACCAATACAAATGGAGACATTATAATAATATAATATAATGATTATTACATTTTAATCTACTCCTCTCTCTTT